CCACCCCGTTCAACATTCCGGGAATTCCACCCCGTTCAACATTCCGGGAATTCCGACCCCGGGAATTCCCACCTCCGATCTGCAGCTCGGGGCAGCCCATCCTCCTCAGCTGGGTGCTCACCGACTCCATCTCCTCCACCAGGGGCACCAGGATGGTGTCGTTGATCCACTGCGTGAGAAACACAAACCCAGAGTCGCTCGATTCCCGGTCAGAATTTATCATCAGGATGGGATCTACATTTGATACTGTACCCATGGAAGCCTCTTCAACCTGAAGGCCCACACCAAGACCCTAAACCATCTTGTCTGGGAGCTGCTCTGTGCTGATGACGCCGCCCTTGTTGCCCACACAGAAGCAGCTCTGCAGCGTTTAACATCCTGCTGTGCTGAGGCTGCTGAGCTCTTTGGGCTGGAAGTCAGCTTGAAGAAGACAGAGGTGCTCCATCAACCTGCACCTCAGAGAGTCCCCCATCATCCCCATATCACCATTGGTGAATCAGAGCTCAAATCAGTTTAATTACCCAGGCAGCCTCATCTCCTCGGACGGTGAGATTGATGGGGAGATGGACAACAGGTTGGCAAAGGCATTGAGAGCTTTGGGAAAACTCCATAAAAGAGTTTGGGGTAATAAACCCTTGAAGAAAAGCACCAAGATGAGTGTTTACAGAGCCATAGTGCTGTCTACTCTCTTATATGGATCTGAATCATGGGTCATCTACCACCACCACCTGCATCTCCTCGAACGCTTCCATCAACGCTGCCTCCGTACAATCCTAAACATCCACTGGGTAGATTATGGGACCAATCCATCTGTTCTAGAGCAAGCAGCAGTCACAAGTATTGAGGCCATGTTGATGTGTGGCACTAAACCTGCATTATATGGGAAAACTGTGGTTTAAACAGGTTTTAAAATGGCTTTTGGTGGTCCTCTTTGCAAACACATGCTTCTTCTTCCCAGCACCCCCCGTGTTATCCATGCAGGAATGTCCTGGGAAGGTGTCCTGAGGTGTTTCCCCGTTGGCCTTTGTTAACCCCTTCCTGTGATTGGGTGTTCCTGTAAGCCCCTTGAGACTTCTAATTGGATACTCTGTGAATCCCCCTAAACCCTATAAATGTAACATCCCCCACAATAAACTCTTTCTTGCCTCCTCTCCACGCCCGGTGTCCTGTGTCCTGTGTCTCCCTGCCGGCCATGGGGCCACGTGCAGGGGGGCAGGGGGGAGCACCTCTCCCCTCCAGGCTCAGGACCTGAAAAAAACCCTGAGAAACCCCTGGAGTTTCCCTTTCCCCATCCCTCAAAGCGTCGCAATCGTTCTTCAGATGGAGACGGAACTAGAACTGGGCCAGCCCCACGCCGTGGGTGGGGAAAGGGATCCAGATTGCTGAGAACACAGCTGTGCTGGGCAGGGCACGTCTCCAGGATGAAGGACCAACACCTCCTCCCTAAGATCCTGCTTTATGGGGAACTCGCCACCGGCTGCTGCAAGAGAGGAGCCCCAAAGAGGAGATACAAGGACTCCCTGAAACAACATCTCAGCCTTGGCCATACTGATCATCAGAACTGGTCTACTCTGGTCTCCAACTGGGAGGTCTGGAGACACCCCATCTATAACGCTGCTGATGCCTTTGAGAAAGCAGCAGGATCACCCCTGAGGAGAAAAGGCAGTGCAGGAAGAACCGTGTCCTGCAGAATTTACCACCTAAGGAGTCTTTCTGCTGTGCCTTTTGCAATGGGATATGTCTGTCTCATATTGGCCTCATAAGCCACCAGGGTGCCTGTAACAAATGTGGGTAGAGCCCTTCCCAAATCTTCGTTCACAAAGCCCGGCCAGGATGATGATTCCCAAATAGTTCATGAATATTCATTAGACATGAGCATTGCACATTATTAAGTCAGACATTCAACAGATGGGTTTTTTTCTTAGACAAGAATATTATCTATAACTATCTATAATATACTGTCAAGTCAGACATTCAGCAGATGTTTGCTTGTTATCTGTATAAAGTTATAAATTTTTAAGAAAGGTGCTATTATCCAGCTAACTAAACAAAACCCCTTCACTATAAATCTTACACAAGGTAAAAGGGAGGTAACTTGTTTTATCTCTTTACAGGGGCCCAATTAAGTTTTATGATTTGTTTTTCTTTTCTCTCTCCAGGTCATTATTGACCTTACAGGATTTTCTTTTAATTAGCCCAAATCATTTTCTCAGTTTATCACAACTGGGGAAAAAGGGGAAACATTCCAGGGCTCATTAATCCATCAGGAAAAGGGAAAAATCTCAGGTCAAAACACCCACCCCACTGCCACCAGAGTCCCAGCTGAACACACCAACACTGGAATCATTTAATGATCAATCAAGAGCTTAAAGGATTCTTTAACACCCTCTGGAAGGGCAGAAATTCCAATATGAAGGAGTTGGGAAAAAAATTCTCTGCCAGTAAAGATTTCTGGACAAAAAGGGGGATTGGGAATCACGGCCCTCCAACCATAAAGATCATTTTTGGGGCCGCTCTGGTGGAGTTTTGGGTCTGCTTTGAGGGCTCCATTCCCTGTCCTGTTTGTCCCAGGAATTCAGGGAGATGACCAACACTTTGGCTGGGATTTGACAGCCCATCCCAAGAGGAGAATTCCCTACTGCCCTTGTCTTTAAAGCCCTGGGAGGTGGGACTTACATTCCTGAACTTGGCTGTCCAGGAATCCATGTGATCCAGGAGCTGCCTGTTCATCGTCACCCGCGCCCAGACCTGTGGAAACATGGAAAAACTCCCGGAATACCCACACTTTTTTAGGGTCTGGGACAATTCCTGCCACTTCCAGAGGGATGGAAGCTGCTTAAACACCGGAGGATTTTCTCCTGCCACAGCTCCAACCCAAACCTTGGCACGAAACTGTGCTTTCCAAAGGCCTGTTTCTCCCTTTGGAGCGCTTTTCCTGCCGGATTTACCTCCTCTGCTGCCTGTTTGGAGCTCAGATCTGCCTCATCCTTGTGTGCTGACGGAGCCTGGGACCTGCAGGCCAGCTGGTACTGGAATTTCCTCAGGATCTGGGCGTGGTCTGCCATGGAGCGGCTGTAATTCCAGAAGGTTGGGCTGCTGGAAGGGGAGCTGGAGTCGGAACTCCCTGGAATGAGTCAATCATTAAAGTCACACACAATCACTGCCAATTAATCCTGGAAGTGACAGCACAGAGTGAAGGGATACACTGGAGTCACCCTGCAGAAACACTGGATTCAGCCTTGTATGGATTGGCCCTATCCAGGGAAAAAACTGCCTGGAGGGAGTTCATTCCCTTTTATTTCTATCTTGATTGTCCCCATTCAGGGTAAAAACTGCCTGGGGGTTGTTCATTCCCTTTGTCCTTGTCTTGGTTGTACCTATCCAAGACAAAAACTGCCTGGAGGCTGTTTATATCCTTTTATCCTTATCTGGATTGTCCCTATCCAGGACAAAAACTGCCTGGGGGTTGTTCATCCCCTTTATCCTTGTCTGGATTGTCCATATCCAGGACAAAAACTGTCTGGAGAGAGTTCATCCCCTTTATCCTTGTCTTGATTGTCCGTATCCAGGGTAAAAAATTCCCTTTATCCTTGTCTGGATTGTCCCTATCCAGGGTAAAAACTGCCTGGGGGTTGTTCATTCCCTTTATCCCTGTCTTGGTTGTTCCAATCCAGGACAAAAACTGCCTGGAGAGAGTTCATTCCCTTTATCCTTGTCTGGATTGTCCCTATCCAGAGTAAAAACTGCCTGGGGGTTGTTCATTCTCTTTATCCTTGTCTGGATTGTCCCTATCCAGGGCAAAAACTACCTGGAGGGAGTTCATCCCCTTTATCCTTGTTTTGATTGTTCCTACCGAGGGCAAAAACTGCCTGGGGGTTGTTCATCCCCTTTATCCTTGTCTTGATTATCCCTATCCAGGACAAAAACTGCCTGGAGAGAGTTCATTCCCTTTATCCTTGTCTGGATTGTCCATATCCAGGGTAAAAACTGCTTGGGGGTTGTTCATTCCCTTTATCCTTGTCTTGGTTGTTCCAATCCAGGACAAAAACTGCCTGGAGGGCGTTCATTCCCTTTATCCTTGTCTGGATTGTCCCTATCCAGGGTAAAAACTGCCTGGAGGGAGTTCATTCCCTTTATCCTTGTCTGGATTGTTACTATCCAGGATAAAAACTGCCTGGAGATAGTTTATATCCTTTTCTCCTTGTCTGGATTGTCCATATCCAGGATAAAAAATTCCTTTTATCCTTGTCTGGATTGTCCATATCAGAACAAAAACTGCCTGGAGGGAGTTCATCCTCTTGATCCTTAACTTGATTATCCCTATCCAGGACAAAAACTGCCTGGAGATAGTTTATATCCTTTTCTCCTTATCTGGATTGTCCCTATCCAAGACAAAAACTGCCTGGAGAGAGTTCATTCCCTTTATCCTTGTCTGGATTGTCCATATCCAGGACAAAAACTGCCTGGATTCACCCCCTCTGTCTGAAAGCACCCCCACCAAACACCCCTCTCATCAAGGTGAGCATCTTATCACTGCCAACAACAGCTACAGAGATCACGGATCATCTCACATTCCAAGCTTAGATCCAACCCAAAGGAATCCAAAGGGATAATCTGGAGGAAAGCTGAAGCTCCCAAGCCATGGAGATGTGCAGAACCCCTGGTGTTCCCCCATTCCTCAGCAGATGAAGCTGCTGAGCAGTTTGCCAAGCTCCCAGGGATTCCCACAAAATGCTGTTCACTGGAATTTTCCTCACCCACTCCCGAATAAAACCGACACCTTCCCATTCCCAAGCCGTTCCCGGGAAATCCCGGGCATTTACCCAGCTGGACTCTGTGCTGTTTCTCCTCCTCGTTCCTCAGGAAGGTGTCCAGGGATTTGACATCAGTTATGTACTCATCCTTGTGGGTGTTGTTGTTGTAGAGGATGGGGGAGAACCGGTAGTGGGACCTTATCCCGCCGCCGTCCAGCGCTCCCGGGGAATAGGGGGATCCATTGGGAGAGTGGCCGAAGCTGGAAACCTTGGGGGGGAGAGGAAAAAACCACCCCAATCCTGGTGGGATCGCTTTTGTTTTCCTGATGCCTTAAGATTCTTTCGGTTTTTTGGTTTTTCTAATTTTTATAAGCTATATAAGTAGTTATATAAGCAGATTTTAGGAGCAGCAGCCCTTATTCCTCCACCCTTTAGCACAGGGAGTTTACACATTCCTCAACCCCTACATGCCCCATTCCATGCTCCCATATCAATATCCCCTGAATTCCAGTAGAAAATGTTTAGTCTCTCTTATTAAGAGCGGGCCTATTTTGTTTAAGGACATTTGTGCCTTGGCCTGAACCACAAAAGTCCAGTCAAGAACTGGGTGACCCTGTACCCTTTGTGCTCTGAAGAAGATGATGATGATGATGAAGAAAAGCCCCCAGCCCCAATTCCAAGGGGGTGGGATGAGGGTGGAAGCACTTGGGATTGGACAGACAATATTATAAATTGTAACACCTGTGTCTCTGTAATCTTATGCCTGGGCACAAATTAAACCCTTTCCTTATCTCCTCCTCGATTAAATTGCTTTGGAGTTGTTGTTTTTTTTCCCCTCAGCTCCTGCAGGCAACATTCCCAAGGATCAGGCTCATCAGAGGATGATGTTCACACAGATCCACAGAATGGTTTGGTTGGAAGGGACCTTAAAAGATCATCTTGTTCCAACCCCCCCTCCCATGCTACCTAAAACTCAAGTATCTCCTGAAAACCAAAGCAAGGGGAACTCATCCAATTTTATTTTAGAAGCAGGAAGGAGTGTCCTGCATCCCTGGGATGTTCTGGACGGAAACTGCTTAAATAACTTCATAAAGAATTATTAAATTTCTGCTGTTTCAGCTCAGCACACAAACTGTGCCTCCCAGGAGTTGGGAGGATACAGCTCTGGGGCAGGAATTTCATCCTTGTGTTGTTGGGGTCTGTCCCAGTTAGGACAGCTGGGCCCAGTTCATCACTGGATGGGTGCAACCCAAAACTGGGTATTCTAGAGCCTTCCATGCCATTGCCCAGAAACTGTTGGCAAGGGACTATTTGCACCCTCTGCCCAGAGCAGCCCTGACTCCTCAGGCTACAAACTGGGTGTTAAGAGGCCTGGGAGACAGGAGGGTGTTTTTGTCCTCACCCCATTGAGGAGTCCCCCACCCTGAGGGAGGCACTGGGCATTCCTGCCTGGAGAATATACAATCTTGGAGTTTTGGGACTTTTTTAACCACTTGTGGGATCCAGAGGGAGACTGCAGATCACCACTCTCAACTAGACTGCAACCACCACTCTCAACCAGACTGCAACCACCACACTCAACCAGACTGAGACCACCACTCTCAACCAGACTGCAACCACCACTCTCAACCAGACTGCAACCACCATTCTCAACCAGACTGCAACCACCA